CGTCACCGGCAAAGAAAAATTCTCCCTGGACATGATTTGTCTACCCCAACAGAAGCGGCTAGGCGTCTTAGGTTCCGACAAAACAAAATAGAAGAATCGGATCTGACGACCTCAGGGATTTGCATGTGCATGAAGTTTCAAACCAAAGAGCTCGGCTCGGCAACCGGGGCCACAGAGACCCTTAGTGTTGTAAGCGAGCACAATTGCATGACGAAGCGCCAGTCACTCGGCCAACAGATGCCAAGGAAACTCCTACCTCGCAGGACTCGGCGGCCCAGGGGCAAGTCATTCAGGTAAACAGGCCAACAGCAGCTTGGATCTGACCCAGAGTTCATGTCAGAGGGAAGTCGACTTGACAAGTGCCGACTAGCTCCACAATGGGCTTAACGGTATGAGTTGTCCAGATCGACCATTAAGCAGAACGCATAACCGTATAACCGACCTCGAACGGAAGTCGGAAGTCACCGGATGGAGGTCGGAAGTATACGACAACAGGTCGGAAAATCCATCAGAAGTAGGAAATCGACCTCCCAGCCGAAGAACTTTGCCTTTTCGACGGATGAACACACAGTTCATCCGACTCGAAGAAGTCGGAAATCAGCCGACCTCGGAACTTTGACATAGATAGCCGACCTCAAATGAAGGTCGGAAGTGACCGAACAGAAGTCGGAAGGATACGACAACAAGTCGGCGAAGGCATTTGGAAGTCGAGAGCCGACCTCCTAACGGAAAAACTTAGCCTTCGGACGGATGAGCACACAGTTCATCCGACCTCCCGAAGTCGACCATAACCGACTACAAGTCGGAAGTCGGAAACTCAGTCAACATGACGGAAGAAGATTGATAGCTGTTCGCGGTGGACGAATTCGACCTGAAGGCACTTGTTTAGCCCCATATGGGCATGTTATTGCAGGTTAACCCTAGTCGACCACCGACGGATAGGATGACCGACCTCGACAGAAGGTCGGATAACAACGGAATATACCGGATGGAAGTCGACTGGACACTTCCATCGAACAAACCCGTGATTTCCGATCGGACCTTCGAGCCAGTTCGACTCGGATTATTTCAAACCAGGCTCGTGGTAGCAGATTGAACGGTTGTAACCGACCACATTTGAACGGAACTGCTGTACATGACGACCACAAAGGCCGCATGACTTATATACAGCCTTTTCCGACCGGAACCTTAAGAATTCGGAACACAGCCGAATTTCTCCTAGCCGCCGATCGACTTATCGGTAGGCCGACCTTGGTCAAACCGACCTTGGTCCTATTCCCCATTCAGAGAGGATGCCTCGGCATTTGCAACCGCAACAGTGCCTCTCTATCCCAGACGGATGGATACGAGTCGGAAGTAAGTGTTTAACCGTGCTTATCCGATCTCGGTGAATGTAACCGGTTACGACGGGTAACGTTCCTCTCTCGCAGTATGACTCAGCGTTCATACGCTCGCGTTGGATAGAGTCCAGTCTGCGCATCATCACACAGCTGATGGCACACAGCACGTGGTTGCCGCCAGCACTTCTTTCACGCCATCAGACGCTCAAGAACCTTCCTGGCATTCACATGCTATTTAGCCATCAGTGCTTTGTTCTTGCTTTCCTGCTATAACGCAGCATTTGTTCCCCTTTATTTGTACAATAAAGCTCACTCGTGATCTCCTCGTGCTTGTCTGTTACACTGTTATGACCAAAGAGCTTGTCAATGGGGAGTCTACCGCCGTTAGCTGCGGAGAACTTCACGCAAAGCTTCCCGGTATGGCAAGGGGAACATGTCATCCATTATGACGTTACAGTAAGTATAAGGTCGTACGGGATCAGCATTGACTGCGGGACAACTAAGGAACATATACCGGACATCAAGAGGAATGGAGTCAACCAGAAATGTATCGGGTAGCGTTAAATTATTCTTCTTACACCGCACATTGTTGTAATCCTGATCATACACACATCCAGGATTGGGAAGGCCAGCAACAATTCCGACGCAAATAAGCGCAACTGCGAAAACATTTCGATAACACGCTCTCTTCGTGTCTCCGCAGCAGTGCCGAGTAGCATGCGCCAGAACTGAAATTGTTTAGGATGAATAGCTGATTTTTGAAATGGGGTGTTAATTTTCTGCCACATACAAGAACTTAATCATCGTTCCAGTGACGGTACTTGTCATAGCTGCAAATGCAGATTTTTTCAAGGCACGCAAATTGATCTTTATTGGAACACGCTGACGCTACCTTATATTTGAACTACAATAATTACACTTGCGTGTCCTCGCTTCGCTGCTTCCACATGTGAAGATTCATGTCCGAGATAGTAGAGATTTTTAGATCTGATACAACGTGAGTTTAGTTTCAACTACAATCGCCGGTAATGCAGTGGGACTGAGTATGAAATCTTGTTGCACGTCGACAGTTAATGCCTGTTCCATTGCTTCATTGTAGCCATGTCAGCGTGACATCTTCGGCCCACATAGCCAATCTCTATATAATAATCGCGTAAGCCTAAATCTTTGTTGAGTCCGTCAGCTCGACGCACTGATCCGAACTGCCATGGCTATGTATCATTCGATAGCCCTTATAGTGTAGATTTGCCAAAACAAATCAGTTTTTGAAGAAAAAAATCAGTTTGACAGAAAACTTTCAAAGACGTTAACTTATAAAGTCTATGGAAAAAGCCAAGAAGCCACCACTGTTAAACCGATCACTCCATCACTGTCTGAACAGTCAACTCGCTTTTTTGAATTTCGCTGCAGCTGGATGGGACTGTACGTTCCATGACAAATAATATTCCATCGTTTTAATGTATGTTTCTCATCAAAATTGAGAAGGAAAAGTTAGTTTTGAGAAAGAAAATAAAACAAAACAGAAATGGCCGCGAAGATTCTGCGACTGTGGGACGGTTCTAAAGTCTGATTTTAAGAAAGTATCTGACCCCCGCAGTGGCTTAGGCAGCTTTCACTTACCTACGCTGTATTAAAAGTGCCTTCCTGGGCGGGCGCGATTGCCTTTCTTGCAGTATTTTGTTAGGTTTTCGTTTTTAGCAGATACGCAAGGTGGTGTTCGAGAAAGGCAAACGGATAACTTGGAAAATTCAAGATTTGCTTCGAGAACATCATGCTGTTTGCTTCGCAAGTTACGTGGTTTCTGGATAAAAGAACATCTGATACATATTAAAGCGAATCCAGCTTTCTGTACAAGCTAAATCATGTTCGGTTTAAAAACTGGTGGGGTGGAATTGGATGTGGCGCGAAGTATTATGTAAGGTGGAATGATGCTCTGGTAAGTAAAAAGGGCAAATGAATTTTTCAGTCCGCTATTCATATAGCATACTGGAAGGCGGAGCCGAGTTGCGGCGCGAGCGGAGCTTAAGCAGAATTTGCTCAAGGAGCAGCAAGGCGGCGTGAATATTAAACTCATCATAATTATTTTGCTTATAATTTTGATTAAGCTTATCATAATTGGAAATTGATCAATTTTAATTATGATCAGCATAATCAAAATTCAACAATTTTAATTAAACTGGAGCATAATTAAAATTGTCCAATTTTAATTTTGCCTATCATAATTAAAATTCAGTTTTCTTTTGATCAGGCTATTTATATTGTTCATAATTTGACTCAGAATTAAGCTTAAGTATAATTAAAATTGACGAATTTTAATTATGCTTAAGCTTAATTAAAAATGCGCAATTTTAATTATGCTCAGCATAATCAAAATTGCCATAATTTTAATTGAATTAATCATAATGTTTAATTCCCAGCAAAATTAAGAGTTTAATCATCACTACAGCAAGCATACAAGAAATTAGCGTAGCGGTTCCCGATTTTGAAAATGAGATAAAAGAGAAAAAGGAAACACAACGAAATGCAACGTTTTTATTTAATTTAAAGTGTTTGGACGTGTTCTGTGGTCAAAGCAATAGTAAAAAAAAGCGATAGCAAGTGGAGAAACTACTCTCTTAGTGTACTGATATTAAAACACGGATATAAAGGGCACGGTGGTGTTAGTATTCAAATGGGGATTTAACGTAAGAGTGCAAATAAACAGCTATCGGATAGTTTACGACTCTACAGCTTATAAAAAGGAAGAGAGTGCAACTTCTCATAAATTAAGAAGTCCCTTTGCTGCAGGTGTACGAAATTTTGTGAGTGGATAACTGATGTGGAAATTAAGAAATAGATGGGAAACTAATGAATGCATTTCTCTGCTTTAAAGCAAAAAATTCCGCACTTCAGATTTAAGGTAGTCTCTGCAGTCTGTTAAAGCGACAGGCAAATTTTACCAGTGGACATTTAGACTTTGGACATGTATATTGTAGAATTTTACGTTTCGCCCATAAAACCTACACTTTACCTGCAGGCTTGAGTTTTGATTTTAGTACTAGGTTATGATTTAATTATCATTAATTATTCCGCGCAATTTGCGCGGGGTCTCCTAGTTACAATAGAAAAGCGTAGAAAAGAAACCGGCTTTTTTGAGCCACTTTTCTACGATTTTTTTCAGTTTTTGAGCCATTTTCGAACTGGCGCGCCGGGCGCGCGCGCGCCCCCCCCCCCTACCCTCGGACCTCGCGACGGCCCTGGAACTTACGCTAATGGTGTAGTGGCTATCGTGGCTTATTGCGCTGCCTGTTCATTTACGCAGGAAATTTCAAGACTAGCCCGTGCTCTACATGGGACCATATACTTATACCGGTATACGTACTACTTCAACTTGCAAGTATGCCAATAATTGGCATACTTGCAAGTATGCCAATAGTGATGTACTGCTAAATAAAACTAGAAAATGCTATTTATTAGTAAGTTCTTATTTAGCGAAGAATATTAAGTGATAGTATGTACGGTATTTGAAAAATTGGGGGTCAATAGTAAGTAAAAGTTTTGAAAAATTAGTAAATACAAAGCAGTAAATAAGGTGGCTGGAAGGTGTAGCATAACATTATTAATGCCATTTATTCGTATTGCAAAAACAGCAAAAAAAGCCAAAATTTTCGAAGAACGTACTGTCGGAATCGGCTCTTCGGAACCGTCGCCGTCCTCGAAGACATATCCTGCCGTCCATTCAGCAATGCATTCCGCTAATGCCGGTCGATCCAGGGGCCGGCGGAGAATCAGGCGGCTTTCAAAGAGATTCCACATGTCCGACTCTGTCTGCTCGCGCGACGACCCGTGGAAGATGTGCTGCGCTACACCTGCTCCGACAACAGTGTCCGCGTACAGTTGACATTGCTTCAAAATCACTCGGTCGGCCACTGACCACTGCACGACCAGACCCGTTAAGCGTCCCATCAGAGAGCCAGCACCCACCGGAGCGCCGAAGCCGGGGGAGAATTCGCAGCCGTAAAACACCACGGCCTGCAGGCGGCTGCCGTTGAGGAGGTGACGGATGAGGCCGGAGATGCCGATGGCATCGCCTAACATCAGCTCGTCTAAGACCAGCACCCGGGTGGACCGCGTGAGACATTTGATTAAACCTGCCGGCCAGCAGGTGTACTCGGAACTGCCGTATACGTAAACATCAGAGAAGTAGCCGTCGGTAGTGAGCAGAGTGTGCCACAGGGGACACACTCGCCGATAACGAAAGCGTTCGATGGAGTCCAGCGAGCGGAAAACCTCCAACAGCAACACCGGCGGTAGCGGCATGCCCTCTCCCTTTCCTGGCGTATCGGTGGTGATGCCGGTCAGCTGTCGCGCTCTCCGGGATCCGCTTTGCGCTTTCTCCTTCACCAGCACCCAGGTGAAAACATCTCTCTGTAAAAAAGAAACATCTCAGTCATCCAAACAGCTTTGTAGAAACCCATCTGACAACAAAGTCCCGGAATAAACCAAGGAAATCGCTATCCATAGTACCCAGCACCCACTGATACTTGTGTGTACGGTACTGAGGAAATATCGCAGTTCTAATTCCGTAATACAGAGAGTTAATCCAGCAACAACATGCACACTTTGCCGCTAATCTGTCTACGAGATACCTACATCTGCCGACTGGCGCAAGCTGATATTTTCATTTTCTAAGGCTTACAGCCATGACTCGGTTGGAGATGGGCTTGTAACCCCGCAAATTTTCAGAAAATGTCGCATAATGCAAAATTTACGTGTACTGAATACAGATATACATCAATTTCCGGTGATGTGAAATAGTTGGACGATCTTCAAATGTCCCCGCGAATATTTAAGATCAGATCAGTACTGAACTACAGAAAAAGTCAAAAAAATTCCTATAGGAAGCTTACCAGCTGGCTAAAGCTCAGCGGCCAGCCGTCCTGGCGCTGCAGGTAGCGCAGGCTCCGCTCGCGTGGACAGAGTGCGATACACACGATGGGGAATTCGCGCTCCAGCTCCCCCTTAAGAATCTCCACAAATATTGGCGATCCACCGGCGCGGTGCGCTTCCGGCAGTCGATCAAAGCAGACCACGAAATCCTTGTCCATTACGCGGCCTCCCTCCCAATCGGCGTCCGCGGGATGTGGACGAACCTGGACGCGAGGTACCATCTCCAGGATGGTGCCGTAGAGCGGTACTTCAACTTGCACACAGACAAAACGCTGATGGTGGTAGTCTCCCAGGCCGACCAACGTTCCCGGATACCAGATCCACGCACCATCGGGCGAACGGTGCAGCAGGACTTGTACGACCGCCGTTGACGGGAGCGAGTCCTTGGCGCTGCTGCTGCTGCTGGGAAAGCGGAAGATGCTGCCGTACTTCACCAACTGCGCGCGCTGTCCCGCACAATGAAAATCAATGACCAGGCCGTCTTTGGCCACGTCGAGCACGTGGCCCTGTTGCAGAAATCCATCGACCAGGACATCCACGGAGTTCCAGGCATTTATCGGGTGTTTAGGATCTTTGTACAAATGCATGATGCGTCGATAGTCGGGACGACAGGTCGGTTGGTTTCGTATTCGGTGTCCCTGCTTCTAAAGGATTCCTGTACAACCTACAATGGCTTCCTGTACTTTATTCTGACTCTAGATGTATTTATAGGAAATAGTGCGAAAAAATGCTCTGAGAAGAAAGGAAGAATGGAAATCAGAAAGGAAACGAACGAATGAGCATTTCCGAAAACTCTCGAAGATAAAGGGCTTTACGCTGCCACACCGAGCGGTTGCAACTGCGCTAAACGCCGGAAGTCGCGCCGGAAGTCATGCGTTCTACGGGAAGGTTTTCGTGAAACAATAATTCTGTTCAACAGCAAAGTGTTTTTTTTCACAGAAACACAGCTTACTTAAGAAAATCGCTCGTGTTAGTTAGGAGCTCTGCGTCTTGAAGTGAAGCTAAGCCATATGCACCTCCCGGGCAGCTAAGAACAAATGTCGTACATAAATTAACACTAATATTCCAGCAGAAGACGCACCGCGAATTCTAGAACAGCTGGAATAGAAACTTTTTTATAAAACTAGTTTTTCGGTTTCGATTCTGCAACGGACGTGCAGGAATGACACTGAGCCAGTGCTAGAGCAAAGCGACTTGGAGAACAGTGGCGAGTGGCCTGAACTGTGGACTATTGCCCAAAAACAGCATCGTAACGAGTGCGCCACGGAATTTCTCTGGTTGGTGCGGATCGTCGCACATCGTCTGAAAATGTTGTACTGTGTTCTGGCGAGCAAATGTATTGAATGTGCAATTCCATTCCGACAGTGTCAGCGTGCCAGCGGCACTTCGCCAAGGACGCCCTGGGACTAAACAAACACGAAGCAGACCGCGATGCGACGGCTGCCGATCTCGGCCCGATGCAAGGTGCATCGTAGACATTTTCAAATGACTAATTTAAAAATGCCTGGGTACTCCTCGCCGCTGCTACTGCCACGAATAAAAGGGTCATCGACGCCATATTCGGTCCGATCGATGTGGTCACTTTCTCTCGTACGTGGTCGGTGACCGACTGACCGGCAAGGCGGCAACCACAACAGAATGCCGCATAATACGCTTATATAGTATCAAAGTGTCTTTGATCTCTCTGTCTTTGTCAGCTCAGCCATGATAATTATTGAACCAGTTCGACAAACACCGGCAGCCGGTATTAGGAAACCAGAGTAATAATGGAGCATTTACCTGCACAAGACGTAGCAGTTTTTACGAACATTTATCCCCAAAAGAACGGCGAAATATAAAATGTAAAATACGTTTCTACACCTTCCGCTTTTCCGCACATATAATCGTAGCCCACGTTTTGAGATAGAAGCACTGTACAAGCCACGACCCCTGCTAAACAGGGGACCCACTTCGTGGCAAAACTCAACACTCAAAGTGACCGAAGTATCCTCTCCCGTTTTCTGAAGAGCTCCTGTAGAATAGATTCCACGGAATTCTCCTCTTTATCCACTTTCTACAACAGAATGGAAGCAGCTGCGTACGGTCTTGAAGATATGGCTGCGCTGATTTCTGAAAACAGCAATTAAAGACAAAGTCGTCCCTTACCTTCCCAATGACTGATCTAATTAGATCACCCAGGAAGAAGTGGAAGTGTGAAGCCTGCGTCGCATCAGCCACTGAGTAAATAAAATACGGGAGATATTCGCACAATGTTACTGCAGTATATGTAACTTGTTCCTTTGGCATTGGCGGTTTTTGTCACGGTGTTAAAACAAAAGGTTGATTAGCCTGAATAAAAGCTTTGCTTACTGTGTTGGAGTGTTGGTTTATTCTTGCTGTATCAGTGTTTCTGACAAAGTACAACAGTTTTAATGCAAAATGTCTTTGTTAATAACTTGATTGGTTATGAAGCTTATATGGTATTAAAGTTTCAGCTAGCTTTTAACCAATCATCAGTATTCAATAAACATAAGAGTTCATTGGTATAGAAGTGTCACAAAAAGTAAGAAAACCTGAAGCGTTGGAATGTTCATTTCGGGACCACTAGTCTAAGTTTTATCCATGATACATAAACATAAAGGTCCTTTTTTGGCATCTCCACTGTTTGTATCTATCGCTATACAGAGTATTCGTACGTACATTAAGAAGCCGGACTAGGCAGTAGAATGAAAAACCAAAAACGATAGGTCCATCATTCATAGCATCTGTACATGATGTAAAGAGCATGCAAAGCTATAATAATAAAATTCGTTATGTTACTGATATGCGCTGATTAAACAGCAAGGTTCTAGTTTACAAGAACAGTCGTTGCAGCATTCAAAGTCTTATCAACAAGTTGTAGCCATTCTTTGTACGGACCATGATTCAGGAGACCGGGAAGTGACTTCGGGAGAGTTGCTACTAGCCACTGCGGTACGGATTAGGCACCTCCTCGCCGCCGCCACCGTCGCAGCACTGGCCATTAATTCTTCCGCCTGCAGAAACAGTACTTAACCGCTCGTCTCGTAGATATGCTTTTCTCGATCAGTATTATTTAACGCTTCCTCCATTACTATTGTTACATGGTATAAGGCTTAAAGCACACCTTATTTTATGAAGATACGATAGCGGAAAAACTCACCTTTGGCGTCGTACAGGCAGTTGTCCGCTCCATAGAAGACCTCCCCGTAGTTGGAAGGCCAGTTGAATTCCTTCTTGCAACCGGCTCGTACCGTTTTTCCCTTGCCGCCTCCCAGCTGTCCCCAAACGGTGATGGGAGGGCTGACGTTAGCCCCGGTCCCCGAGCACTGACTGTGCATACCGGCACCCCGTTGTTGGAAATCGACGCAGCCCTTGTTGACCCTCTGCAAAACACAAGCAGACATTGCAGATGACCTGCTGCAGAATTTGTCTAAAATGCCCAACTTACGAAGCGAGTGGCATAGGCGCACGTGGCGAGGACCAGAAGGGTTAGGAAAACTATTTGCGTTGCCATTTTGTATCGAAATTGCAGATCAAAAACGTTTATTGAAGATTTTTTTTATACAGACTGATAAGCATCCGCTTGCTTAAATAGTCGATGATTGCATAAACAACGCATAAACATAAACTATTATTGCCAGGAAAACGATGTTATTCCGTGTTTAGCGCAAAATTGGCAGAAAGCAGCCATGAAACAGCGGCCAGAAAATTGTTCACCGGTGACATAAAAATCAATCCGTGTGGTGTTTTGAAAAATAAGCAATGCATAACAAATAATTATTGCGCTTTTTCTCAACAATATCCGTTCGCAAAAAATGTCGGGTCAGATGACGCTTGTCTGCTCGGGTTAAAATGACAACAGTGGACAACAAAAAACAACCTTGGGCCGTTTATTGAGGCGTGTGTCATATTTTATGGCTGCTGCCGTAAAAAAGCAGCCGAGAACATTAGTGATCGCTCGGTCAAAATTTAGCAACAATGTCTGCCTTTGGGCAGAATTTTGCTCATTTTTTTAATCAGTGTTTTCTGTTTTGTGCAACAATGCGTACTGTTTTGTCTTATTGGCTATCTGGACTCATTCTGTAAGTTAGCTATCAGATGGTCATGCGCGTTGCTCCGTAATATCGTTCGTGTCCCGCTTGAACTAAACACCTGATTCTTGGACCGTTGTGTCGGTAATTGAATTAAACTACGATTTCGTGTTTGCCGCCTACTGCTTTACAACTCTTGGCTCAACGCTTCACAAATTAGGAAAGAAGATAATGCAGTAATTTTAGCAAGGCAATGGCAATGAGCAACATGGTCCGTTATGTGCAATTATTGTCCTTGTAATTAGACGTGCCGTAAAGCCCGACCTAATCTTTAACACATTCGTATCAGATTCCGACCAATTTGTCAAGCAGTTCGCAAAAGCTCTAAACAGAAATTGTAACAACTAACAAGTAATATAACTTCGGAAGCGAGTTTATCAGAAATCATTATTGGCCTTCGTACGTGCGGGCGTTCGCGCTACCCTGCTACGCGTACGAGCATAATAACCATAAAAGGTAATGTGATCATGGGCGATGACAGTGGCAGCACAGCGACAAAACCCGTATATCGCTGGAATCCATGCGGTTGAAGAACGTTTTTGAGCGGATTCAAAAAGTTGATGAAGAGATACTCAATGTTAGCGGTGTCGGCTTTTTGAAGTTCGCTCTGAAAAGTGTTTATCTGTTTTGAAAATCTCCTTAGTAATATTTAGCTCTTTTCCTTTTTACCGACCAGACATTGAAGTCCTGTTTACCGGGTTGTCTGCTCCTGATACAATGAATGACTGAATGAATGAATTTAACATCAAGCCTTAACCATACCGCTTTACGGCGCAATGAGGCAGTTGTCCGGATACCCATCGGCGTCGCCGCACGAATATAGACGGTACCCATTAGCGCTGTCGCCTTCCCTACGATTGGTTTTGTGGCTTGTCACCATGGTCACACTGTGATCACGGTGTTCGGCCCCAGAACCATTGCAGTGTGACCGTCACAGTCGTCAGCACAGAATAACAGAGTATCAGACTTCACAATTAGCGTGAGTCATCTCTTAAAATACTCTATCTTTTATTAATTTTAAAGTGATAAGGTGTAACAGGCATATTTATTTGAGCACATTAGTTATGGCGATACGTATCACGTTGGCCCAAACGAGTACGTACCTGCGTGCTGCGATTTCAGTGCCAGATTCGCCGCTCTGCGTAGCGGGATAATCATCACCCTATGCAAAACGACCCATCTACGAATCTGGCAATGAACATTAATAGCCACTGGACAGTGCATAACTCGCACAGGTTGGCGGATGTCTTCTCGTTTGTTCCACACAGAGTGGATCGTAAGTGCGCGGGCAGCTTGTGTTCCGGTATCGATCTGCTAACAAATCGCTTATATATTCGTACAAAATTACATGAAATCTTCTATAATTGTATTTTATTTTACGCGTTACTTTACCGGTTTGGTCTCTTGTTTGCATTGCGCTGTACGATGGCCATGGAAGCCAAAGCAGATACTATAAAACAGTTGGAATAATCACTAGTAGAGATTAAATTTGTGCACGTAGACAAAACGAATTATCTTGACAAACAAAAGAAACTGATACGACACAAAAAAACACAAAAAAAACGCATTTTCGTGGCTAAGTGGCAAACGTCGTGCAAAAATTCCGTAATGAACGAGAAACACTGGCGATACTAATACAGATTAATAAAACAAACCCGAAGGAGTGCTTTATAAGTCGGCTGTCCGGATTCATCATCCACAAAATTCTCTTAAATGCGCAAGAATTTCGATCCGATCACCACTGTTTTCTCTTGCCGTATAATTATATGAGCTTTTGCGGTATTGTGTAGTAGACCATAATTATACGCTGGCAAGACGGTACAGAAAATAATAATAACAATATTATGGACTGTGGATCGTTTAATGTACGCTTCTGTCTGTACTTGTATGGCACGATCTTCGAATTTCATTACCGATGAATATCTGCGTGACTTGCATCGTCTTACATGCTCTGTATGGTGATGGTGCTAAATACAGGCGGGTAGCAAGCCCGATTTAACACGAGGCATACCCCCCGAGCGAAAGCCGATTGGCTACAGTCCTCACTTTACAAAAGCCTATCTGGAAAAGGAGGATATTTCTAGATTCGCTCTTTCATCGGATTAAGAGCATAGTCAGTAAAGGAAGAGACCACGTTATTGTACACAGCAGCGCCTTCAGATTATGCCTCCGGGCTTCCGGATCAAAAGAATTTTGCATGCGCACAAGAGTTAAGCGTAGAAAGTATAAAATGACAAAATTTATTGTCAAAAAGAGCACTTTAATTATCTGCAAGACTGCAGCTAATTAATTAATTAATTATCAGGTGCTTGCTGAGCCAGTCATGAGCCTCACCACAATTTTGACGATGCCGTATTTATAACTGATACTGTACAGTACATCTCGTAGGAAGTGCTGGAGTAGAATAGTAACGCCCAAACGGTTTTCAGAATAATGTATACAAATCGTTTAGCTTTAGAATGACATAAAGTATTACAAAAAAGTGATACGGAGTGCGCGAGAGCGGAAGTTTTAGGGTATGTATCCTATTTCTGACACCATGTACCTGGTCACAACAGGTACAAGTTTGCGCTTATAACGATGGCCACTTCACTACTTTTATCAAAATCCAAGAATGCGCTCTGCAATTAGATTGTGGTTACTGCACCGACCATTTTCTAGCCAACTTCCGCCAGGTAATTACTATTATTCTCATTAAACTACCTGGCGTGCACCAAACTACCAGCCACCCAAATGCATATTACGTGCTTAAGCAATGGCGTGGCGCGTCGTAATATGGAGTTTGGCGTGACAACTAAATTGGTATACATTACTGTACAGTATTTCGCTGCATTGACTCGTCAGAAACTATCGGACAACCTTGTACATAGCCGAAGAAGCCGATTGTGCAACTGGTCTGGTCCAAGGGTTAGGTTAATCTGCATTGTACAAGGGAGCTGGTGAGCGAATGTTCAAAATGCTGAGTAGGATACTAGGATTGACCGGTTGTCCAGAAATGTCCGAAGTACTGCATAACACAGTGTCGTCGATTTTTTTATACGGAATGTTACGCATCAAGAATCTGCTGTCTGAAGCCTAGAGGGGCAACCGCTCCGTTGCAAGGACAATAAACTTCACTTCACTTGAGTAATCCTAACCAGTAAAAGAATTGTTTATTGTCAACAACTGGTTTATCCACTGGTCATCTTCAAGCCCGTACTTCCGCGATCACTGACTACGACCATTAGGATGTGCGATCGTCGCCTTTTACAGTGGTTTTGTGAACGTATGAAACTAAGTCAAAAAACGCCGAAAGTGCAGTACAAGTATCTTCAGTCATGCTGGGTGCCACCTTGTACCATCTTTGGCGACGATCTTTCATACCACCTGTGACTTCTAATACCACCTTTTGGTACACCACTTTCATTTAGTGTTGGGTCGGCCCGGCCAGCCCGGCCCGGCGCGGCCCGGTTAAGAGGGCCGGGCCGTCGTTTGCACGGCCCGGGCCGCGGGCCGATCCGGGCTGCGGCCCGACATGTTCACGGGCCGCGGCCCGGGCCGTCTTGCAGCACATCAATATTTCATTCCCGGATGTCATTATGCAAGTGGCTACAGCGGGTATGTCAACGGAAAAATAGACGAATTTTCGCCTAGAAACGTTTAATGCTGTAAAAATTAAGAAAAACTCATCAAAAACTACTAAATTTCAGAAAATCCCAATGAAATTTTTGTTTTTCTACGTCTTTTTCCATATTTAACGTTTACAGCGGGCCGCGGCCCGGGCCATGGCCCTTCTTCCCGGGCCGAGGGCCGCGGCCCGGCGCGGCCCTCCTAAAAGGGCCGGGCCGAGGTCGGCCCGGGCCGTTCGGGCCGCGGCCCTGGGCCGGGCCGGCCCAACACTACTTTCATTGGAACTTTACGGGATTTGATAAGACGTAGCTCTGCTTTCATTACTACAAAGTAGTAGTTGCTATAACAAGACGCCCTGGAAGACAGGCTGGGAGAACCCCAATTCCGTCCGATCCAAGTCCCTATAACAAAGCTTTGTTACCTGCACTTGAACTGGACGGAATGAGTCGGGAGTTTATCAATGCCACTGCAGTTTATCAATGCCAGATCCACAGTGCTCATTAAAATAATAAAATGTACGAGTATGTCAGACTCATATGGAAAACACGTGACACATGAACAAATTGTTCCCCCTTTCATCAAAACCCACTTAACCCACCAAAGTCAGCTACCAGAAGGAACGTGAATACCAATCTAAAAATTTGTGGGTCTTCCTCAAATAATTCAATCAAGAAAAATTATTTTTTTGTGAATTTTCTTGACCATAGGTCAAGCAGGGCGATAGCCTGCCAAACTGACAGGGATGGGCATCATGCCATTTGGCAGGTAAAACGCCGGAATTTATGGGAAACGATGGGGAGATCGCACTGAGAAGCACGACTACTTAAAAAAACTGTTTTGACAAGCTCTACATTTGTCAGATACTGTTATGGTCATCGAAATGACCAGTGGTCAAGAAACGGTAAAATTGCACGAAAGTATGTTTCCGAGCGGCCATAGGCTAACAAAGGTGCAAAATCCACTTTGTTTATATAAGGACAATACAAAATGACCCTAGGTCACACAAAAACAACAGAATATGTCGGCACAATTAGATATGCGGTTTTTGTTAGTTATACTCCCGTTATACTGCATGATACACTGCAACAGTAACAGCAGTACATATGTACTTATTTGCCGTTTCCTGTTTTAATTTAACTTTTAGTGAACTTTTAATTTTTAGATGGTACAACTACTGAACTATAAGTAAATTATGCAGTCTAAAAGTTGCCTGCCCCTAAAAATTCGGCGATAGCTTCCCTTATTGCATAACTTGCATTGAACCCTGTAAAGCACATCGGCACCGGCACTACCGGCAAGGTCATTTCCGCTATCACGCATTTACACCACAACAACTGACTGCAAGATGCAACTCATAGAACGTGGAGATGTTGCGCAGAATTAAAACGGTAGTATGTAGATACATTTCATATAATTTTACGCTCCCAGTGATGCAAATCATGCCATTACATCATATCCTGAACTGGGTGAAGACCATCATGCAGTTCTTTGTTATGTTTAGGGCTATTCAGAGCAACCTACAGAACGGTGATGAAAAAATATATCAAACAGCTTCAGTTTTGCAATGTCACATTTATTCTTACATTTCACAATTTATCTGAAAGTAACAGCCTAAATTTTCCGACAAAAAACATGAATTTTGGAAATTTTTCTGTTGTTGACCATTGGTCAGTTTGATGACCACCGAAGCAAAAGGCATTTTTGCACTGTTTTTGTCTGATTTTTTGATTCCTTGTGGGACATTTTACCAAGTATCTGAGATTTTATAAAGAATTTATAGTTTTATTGTTAAAGTAGCGCCATGCCCATTCCTGTCAAACTTGGCAGGAAATTTTTGAATGACCCTGTTTGCCCAATGTCCAGTTATTTTTCAAACCATTTGGTGCTTTTGTAATGTCAGCCACCGACTCCTTGCTACCCGGATTCTCGTTGGTGACCTTTCTGATTGTTCGGAGTTTGACCTTTCTTCGTCCGATTTTGACTTTTCCAATTCATTTATTTCTTCAAGGCTCGTTAATAGCTTTTCGGTCAACTCGACCGGCGGACATTCCTCACCGTTATCGAGTGACCTTTCCCCGTTTTTTGCCTCAGTTGCTGGGTTTTATTGTTTATTCGATATCCTCTCAACTTCCTCTTTGAACTTCTTCCACATTTCTCCTCTATCTGTTAACATCCGTGCGATGTCGAAAGCCGACTTTAAACTTTCTTCCGTTTCGTTCGATCCTCCTTCGACTATCTCTTCAACTGGTTCCTCTTTTTCCGCTTCTCTTTCGGTCCCTCTATCAACTTCATCCTGTTGGACTGTTTCGTAACCTTTAGGTCGTTTGGGACCGACGAAAATGCAATTTGCCATCAGTTCTTCGGTGACCCATTCATCATTCGGAATCGTTTCATACATGCACCACGTATCACCACCTCGTTCTGGGTAGTCCACTCCATCTGGATCTGGTGCAAAGGTCACCTTTTTCTTTTGCATTATTCCCGGTAGCCTTCTTTTCCGGATTACTTGTAATTATCGCATCTCTTTTACGTCGAATCTGGGGATCTCTTCTTCGAATTTATTCCAGTATTTTTGGAATATGTCTTTGTTCCCCTCTTTTAACGCGTTGTAATATACTTCGAGTGATTCGTAGACAGGGGTACCAAGTCCTGCCGGGAAGATGATCGTTCTCCTTTCGCCTTTATACATGTGGTTCACACGGAAGTCCCAGAAAAGGTCAACTCTCGCTTCTTCCCACATTTCTCCTTCTTCGGTCATTTCTTCTATCTCTCGTTCAAATCTCCTTTCTGTTGCTACCGGATCGAGAGGATCTTTGATTCCTTTCTCGACACGTTGCAACCAACGGTTTAGCCATCTGCCTCTTCCGATTATAAAACTTTCACGCATGACAACCACGTTCGATATCTATTCCAATGATACCGTTCGATGTGTGGTTTCCACATTTCGTTTGTCCGCATTATGCTTTTCACTTCCTTTTGGGCATGACCTTTAAGGTCTGCTAATGCGGCGTTACATTTCGGCCATTCTGAAAGGTCATCTCGAGAGGCATTTTCACAACATTCCGCGCATTCCCATTGTGGTTGCGCTCTGCACGGATCCTCAAAGTAACCGTGGTGGCAACTCCCGGCTCGTTCTTCTGGAGTTAATGTCCTTTGACTCGCTTGAGGTTTAACCTGTTCCTGTACTGTGGTATCTTCCTCACATTCGATTGGAGTCACGCTTTTATCCTCAGAGGATATTACGATGACCTCTGGTTCTTTTTGTGTTCGGTGACCTTTCAATTGTTCGAGTGCCTTGTTGCGGATTTCACTTGTAAACATCTGTTCCTCTTCAGCTATTCGTTTCAAAACCCGTAACCTTTCACTCTTTTTATCCTTCCCCACTTTAGCCGTCTTTATTTCCAGTGCCTCTGGTACTGGGATAGGCCTTGCCCAATCCATGCCAGGCACGAGCGATTGTTTCGCTGCAGCTGTCGCTCCTTTCTGTGTGGCAGCTATCTCTTCAAGTGTTGGTGACCTTTCGTCATTGATAGCAGAGTGTGGTTCGAAAAAGGGTTTCTTTTGAAGATCACGTTCTGTTACTTCTTCTTTGGCTTCATCTGGTGACCTTTCCTTTCCCAGTGCCTCTGGTACTGGGATAACTTTTTCAACTTTTCCATTTTCATTTTTCGTTTACAGTGCCTCTGGTACTGGGATAATTTGTTTCTGCTGCACTTTTGTCATTCCCGGTGCCTCTGGTACTGGGATGACCTTTTCTCTTCCCTTTTGTGTCAGCATTGTCTGGTTTAGTGTGTTTTCAATCTCCTGCTGGATCACTTTCAACTGTTCAAATGTTGACAATTCTTTTGGGACCATCTTTTTCTTTCCGTTTCCCGGTGCCTCTGGTACTGGGATTAGCGTTTTATTAACCGTTTGAACATTTTCCTGTTTTGCAAGTTCGGTGACCTTTCCGACTTGTACTTTAGCAACTGGTTTCGGGTCATCTTCTTTTTCTTCTTCGCCTTCGTTATCCATCAATACAAATTTCTTTTCCAAGAAGTCAAATCCCAATAACACCTGTACATCGTCACACTTCGGTCGGACGTAGAAGGAATGTTCGCTTGTCTTCTTTCGTAAGGCCACTGGTGCTACACAGTAATGCGTCACCAGGAATCCTGACGTTCCGCTAATTCCGTTTATTTTCACCAGTCTATCTGGTGGCAATGGGAGCATATGAAGTCCATTCTTCTCGCAAAACGGTTTGCTGATCAGCGACGTCTCAGCGCCGGTGTCCAACATTGCGTTGACTTTTATGTCTCCCACTTTCACTTCGTGTGTATACGCTTCGATTCTTTTGGGCAATTTTCCGTTTTGAATCTTCAATGTATGAATCTTACATTTCACGGGAATGAGCGATACTGGTCCCGGATCCATATCGGGAAGCACTTGTCCTTTAGCCGGAGTGCTGTGACCTTTCAGTATTTCGCTCAGCTTATCGATCCTGTGTGGGACGTTAGTTCGAACATCGTAAAATTTCCGCGGTTTTGTCTTGTCGGCTTGCTTCTCCACAGCGGTTTTACCACTGGTGACCTTTTCAGCGTTCTGCACTTGCTCGTTTGCTTTTGTGCTATCCTCGTGACCTTTAGTCACTTCGTTTATCGTCTGATGGATTAGTTCCTCTTTACGGTTTTCATTTCGCTTATCTCGCAACTTTTCAATAACTTCACTTGTTATTTTGTCAGCTCGTTTCAATTCGTCTTCTTCCTTATCTTTCGTCTATTCCGATGACCTTTCATATGTAACCATATCATATCCCTTTTCGGTCATCCATTGCATTACCTTTGCAGACACTTCATTATTCGTTTTCGTTGGATCAATTTGCGAAGACATTCCGTCTGTTCGGGCTGGTGACTTGTCGTTAGCATCCTTTTGTAGTGCTTGCGATAAGTCCCGTGACCTTTCAACTGCGCTACTCTGTTGCGTTTGCGCCATCTCGTTTGACCGTCCTTTTTGTTCATTTTGCTCTAAGTCCTGTGACCTTTCGTTGCGCTTTATGACAAATCCGCCGCCCGTCAACTTTTGTATGGGGACTTTTTCTCCATAATTCGGCGGTTTATCCTGTGGCGGAGCATTACGTGAGTAATTCCAATCGGCGAATGTCTTCTTATATTCCTCTGCATTGAATGCTGGGGCTGGGTTCGGTGACCTTTGCGCTGGTTTCCCGGTAACCAACTCTTCTAATCGCTTTCTTTCACATTGCGTTCGCAACTGTTGCATGTCCCAGTAGTCCTCTTGTGACATTCTCGCTTTCTGCTTTGCTTTCGGCGTCACAGGTATCCACATCCCGTGATTGCCATTCGGTCTGTAGGCCACTTTTTGCCACTTTTCCTTCTGTTGCAGAGTTGCTGCATCAACAAGTGAGTCTTCGGAGTCCTGTTGTGCCAGTTCGCTATTCTTCTGCTGCGCTGTTCGCAGTGTCAAGTCTGTTTCTCGACCTTTTAGCACGGTGCCTTCACCGTGACCTTTAGCGTTTGCACTCGCTCCTTGACCTTTCACTTGGACTTTTCCTACGGAAGGTGGCCTTTCATCTTTACTGGGTACAGTGATATTCTGTTCCATCCATTTTTGCCTTATCAACTTCTCTTCTTCGTCCTCTGAACAATTCCAGAACTTTGGATTTATCTCTCCGTAACAGTCGCAACCTGGTTCATTCGCCTTATCATTTTCTGCCAAGTATTTCCGGAATTTCGCATGTTGCTCATTTTCTTCTTGCGCAGTATCGTTCTGCGGTTTCTTCTGATTCAGCAACGCCTGTTTAATCTTTGCGTTCCGTTGTGCGCGTCGTTGCGCTAACACTTCTTCGCTGCAGTACGGTGACCTTTCGTTTTGCTGCACTTTTTGCAGTGTCGCGCTACCGTCACGACAATTTCCACTCGCAGTACCATTCTGCGGTGACCTTTTGTCCCGTTGCGCGCTTCCACTCGCAGTACCATTCTGCGGTGACCTTTTATCCACTTGGACGTTTCCACTCGCAGTGCCATTCTGCGGTGACCTTTCACTTTGTAACGGTATCCCTATAACCGTTCCATTTCCTTTTTGCGATGACGGCATCCATATAGCCGTTTCTCTTTGCTGTGGCGGCATCCATCTAGCCGTTTCCTTTTGCGCTGACGGCATCCATATAGCCGTTGCAGTGGTCACATTCACTGCAGTACCATTCTGCAGTGGTGACCTTTCCCTTTTATCCGGTGGTTTAGGGTCGGGACGATCAGTAGGCTCACCGGTGCCTACTGATCTTGCCCGTTTCCCTGAACCGTCGCCCCACCTTGTTGCACGCCTTGCACATTTCCTTGCACATTTTCTTGTTGTTGTCCGATATCGTTTGCCGGGTTAGGATTCTGTCCGTTGCCATTGTTGTATTGGCCACCACCCTGTTGGTAGTTACCTTGGCCGCCTCCATTGTTCTGGCCTCCTCTGAAAGTTCCGCGGCCGAAGCCTCTGCCCCTTCCTCTGAAGCCGCCGCGGCCGAAGCCACCACGGCCGTAGCCGCCATTCTGGCCACCGCCATTTCCATTTCCATAGTTACCGTTTCCGTTCCCTTGTTGGTTTTGGAAGTTTGCTTTGTGTTGGTACCATTGGGTGATGAGGTCATATCCGTTATTCACCGCTAGGCGCCAACCACCAAGCCCGCGCAGTCGTTGCCACTCGTTGAAGGCGAACAGGTTCGGGTTCTGTTCTGGTGGTGTGTTAGCGAATTTGCACCCCTGTGTCTGATGATTGCCATACATACAGTACTGGCACATCTGAACGTTGTTCGCCACCCATCCATCAATCATCTGGAACTTGAATTCGGTTCGTGACCCTTGATTTTGCTGGTTATTGTTCTGGTTTCCTCTGTTTGGCTGAAAGTTGCCTTGACCTTGACCTTGATTCTGGAAATTTCCTTGTCCTCCGTTCCAGTTTGCATTTCCATATCCGTATCCATTTCCACCAAAATTTCCGTTCCCCGCTCCTTGTTGTGGTATTCCAACGTTCATTGGGGCCACGTTCTGTGGAGCTGGTGGAGCCACATTCTGAGGTACCGGTCTCACTTGAGCTGCCGCTTGTATCGCCGCTACCATTGCGTACGTTATCGGTTGCCCCGTCTGACTGTCGATAAAGGTCACTTTTTCCGTGACCTCTCTAACCGGAGTCTCCACTCGGTATTCAACTGGTTGCTGAACTGGTGCAGCTGCCATTCTCTGTTGCGGCACATTTTCGACTTGGCCTTGGCGGATGGTCACGTATTCCTGGTTACGTTGACCTCTGGGCGCCTTATATTTCTCTTCGCCGGTGGCCCAATGTCGAAAGAAATCCTTCACGTCCGTTGGCGTCTTGCACTTTTGTATACGCAGGGCTTTGTAGAGCTCATTGTCGACTCTACATCCTTCGATTAAGAAGCCCACGGCCTGTTTCTCAGTAATGATTCTCTTTGCCTTAAACCGCATCATCGCTTGATAGTATTGGTCAAGCGATTCTTTTCCGAGTTCAAATTTCCTTGCGTAGGCCTCACGTAAGCCTAGGACTTCTTCATCTCGGTCACCATATTCATCTTTAAATTTGTCCATCCATTCGGTTATCGAGTATTCAACTCCGTCTTCTGCTGCGATGTCTTTTTCTCCTTCAAACCATGTTTTTGCAGGACCTTTCACTGCACTGGCTATCTCGATCATAATTTGGTCGTCTGTCAGCTGGTAAGTCCTTTGGGTTTCCTTCACCAGTCGTGTCCACCCACTCACCGTGTCACGACTGCCGTCAAAGGTCATGAGTGGTGTTTTCCTGGCCATCGAGTTGAGTGCTTTTGTCAATTGCACCGCTGTGTTTTCTGCTCTGTGGTCATCGTCTTCTTCGCTACTTCCATCATCACTTTGATTTCGTTTCGCCTTTCCATAACGAGATTTCCTTGGGCGCTCCTGTCGGCTGGGGGGTCTGTCCCGTCGTCCTTCGTCAATGAACACATTTGTTTCCATGTGCGGGGGAAATTGTGAAGGGTCACCTCGACTCATATGCGGGTAACTTTCCGAAGGTGGCTCTTTGTCGTTTTTGTCTTTTTCACCATCTCTTTCATTTTTGACGCTTCCTTTGCCGGTACCAGTTCGTAGCGGCATGTCAAAGTGGAAGCTTTTGCCCGTGCCCGTTTCATGCGCCTTGCTATAACTGGGCGGGGGTGATTCCACTGTCGCTGCTCTAACTACATGTTGTAGGAGCTGTTCATCTTTATGCTTGTTGGACATTTGAAGGGCTTTATTTTCATCTTCGGGGCGCTTAATTCTTAAATCGGATTGTTCTTTCTCGTTCTTCAAGTTCTGGTTCTCTTGGTCGACCTTCGACATGTGCTGATGTAGTTGAAGCGTTTTGTCCTGGATGACTTTTTCGGTATCCTTTTCCACTTTCCTGATGTGTTCTGCCAACTGAGTCACATCTCGTTCCAATTTCATGTATTCCTCAGCTGCCGCTTTCAACTGGTCTTTTGTATGGGTGACCTCATCTTCCCTCGTCATTACCGTTTGGGTCATATCGATCAGCTCCGTATTGAGTCTGATAATCTCCTGTGTCTTCTGATGGACTGTCTGTTGCCACTCTTTATCTTTCAATTCAAGTACCGTGACCTTTTCATCCAAGAGGTGTGCCTCATGTTCCCACCTCATGCCTTGCTCGGCAATTGTCTTAGCGGTCCTTTTCAACTCAGTATTCTCTTCGGTGACCTTTCGAACATCTTCTTTCAACGATTTGTTTTCTTCCGTCACCTGCTTAATTTCGTTACTCAACCGTACACCTTCAGTGGCTGTGAGCTCCCTCAGGTCCTTAGCCACTTTGACAGCGTCATCGGCTCTCCTCTGATGATCTTGTGCTTCTTTCTGAAGGGTTCCAATGTTCTCGTCCCGTAACTTCAATTCATTTCTCAGCTTAAAACCTCGTTGGTGCTTGTCAACAATCGTTGGGTCGCGTCGACGAGTTTGGCCGCGTATTCGTCTCTCTTGGCTTCCGCTTCGGTGACCTTAAGTTTCAATGAGTCACATTCATCCTTCAATTCGGCTATGTGTCGTGACCTTTCAGCTGATTCTTCTGACATACTCTCATTAAGGTCACTGACTGCAAGATGACCCTCCATTTCTCTGTCATCTACCATTTTCAGATACTCTTCGGCCAGTTCCCTTTGCTTTTCATATTTCACTTTCCATTCTTCTGCTGTATTCTCCAAGTATCCCCGTTGTTGTTCTAACTCAAATAGCCGGGTCTCAAGCGATGTCAGTCTCTCTTGATATTCCTGTTTTCGTCTCGCCGTCTGATCTTCCTTATTATGGAGTTCATCTTCCAAATCCTTCACGCGCCTCTTCAGAGTTGACGTGGGGCTATTCGGTGACGGTGGTCGTACGTTGATGACCTTTCCCGTTTGTGTCCGTTCAATGAGGTGCTCTGGTATGTCCTTGAAAGGTGTCATCCCTTCAGCACGATCGGCTTGTCTCATTGCTGATTGGAAGGACATATTCATCGTTGTTTCGTCGTCCGTGAAATATGATTCATTGGATTCATCTGAGACCATTGGGGTTGCCCAAAGGTCATCGTCTGCCGTTTTATCATTCAGCGAAAGGTCACCCAATCCCAGTTCCGCCAGTTCCTCTTCGGTGACCTTTGTCTTTTCCATCTCCGATTGAGTCAGGTTTACATTTTTATCCTGCTCACTGGTGGTAGCATCTGACTGTGATGCTCCAACTGGTTCCGCCCCCCTTTCTGTGGGTTTATCCTCCCCGGTGACCTTTGTCTGGTTCATCGGATCACTTCCCGCCGCAGATGCGGGAGTGTGTTTCTGGTCGTCACTGGAGCTTTCCTGGTTGCCGACCGCCTCGAGCGCCTTCTGATAAGTGCTATCAGAACCTCGTGAATCCTTCTTTTCGAATGCCTTGGGCGCTCGAGTGTTCCGCTCACGTCCAACTGGACGTGAGTACGGGTACAAGTCCTTTTTGTACGGGTTCGGTGCGCTTTGCTGTGAGCTGCGGGAGCTTTTACTTCCCTGACTGCTGTTGGATGTCGGTTCTTCTTGGTCTTTGTCCATGTTGATCGGATAACTTGGACGCTCCTGCCAATTGTTCTCACAAACGCGTTATTGTATGGTTTATTCAATTGTCCTAAAGGTCACTTTCTTTCTGTGAAATTTTCTAAGTCCTTAGTAAAGGTCACTTTTCGATTGGAAAATTTCGACTAAGTCCCGTTTAAAGGTCACTTTTTCGATAAAAAGTTCGAGAGATTTGCCCTAAAGGTCACTCTTCAGACAAAAACTTTGAAGCCGTTCTTACGGTTCAGAACGTGTTTACAATTGGAATCCTACAGCTGCTGATATCGCTGTACTACTATTCACTTCACTTTCACTTCGATAAAGGTCACTATTGGTCTCTTTCAGGTCATAAAGGTCACGTAACTAAGTCAATTTGGTCAATTCCAACTTTTTTCAGTAAAGGTCACTTTTCGAAGTCAAAGGTCACGTTCTGATCTCAAAGTTCACTTTCCGACTCGATTCAACTCAAAAGGTTACTTTCCAACTCAATTTCTGTTAAAAGGTCACTTTCCCGCTCAATTCAAGTTAAAGGTCACTTTTAAGCTCAATTCGATCAAAAGTCACTTTTCCTTTGTCTCAACTCAAAAGGTCACTTTTCGTCTCAATTATCTTATCTCAAATCAAATTTCCCATTACAGCTAGAGTTCAGCGGAAAATCCCCATTCGGGTTGTTTACTTCGTTCCTATTGGTCCGTTGGTTCAAAATATTCAGTTCAAATTTCAGCCAATCACAGCTCAGATAACTAACCAATCACGTTACTCCACTTAAATTTTAGATCTGCCTGACGTCACGGTCAACGGCCAGACGTGCGCACCGTGTGCAAAACCCCGCCTACTTTTACACTCAGCTCAGTACGGACCAATGGAAATTGCGAATTTTACCAGTTAACCAATCTCGTAATTATTAACGGTTTTCTACCTGTTAACCGTCCGTCCGTTCCGCGTTCCTCGGGGAAATGATCCAGATGATCCAGATTCTTCTTCCAACTCCGCTCCCGCGTCGCCGCTGTTCCGTAGCGTGCCTCGCGCTATTAGTAGGCTACTGTGCCGGCTGTGCCGTAGCACCAGTAGTTGTACGCTCTACACCAGTTTGGTGGAGTCTGATCTGTCTTTTCCGTGCGCCCCTTTCGGCGTTTCGGCGCTTCTGCCCCACGGCTTAGGATTCGCTGAATCCTTGCCGAGTATCAGCGACACCATTGTAGGTCTTCAGTCGTCTTCTTCGCTGACGACTGAACTCTTGAACTCTTGCACAGCTGAGGAAACAGCACGGTTCTTCGCTGAAGATACCGTACCGAAGACCAAAGCTGGAAATCCACGTCAGATGAGGCAGTTCACCGCTTGTGGTGTGCGCTTTGCTGTTGGATGGACCTGTGCCTTACTGGTCGGGTTTCACATCAAATAACAGGCCAACTTTGCCTGACACAAATCAAATCAATTTCAGAGAACCGCTATCGGCTCTGCTACCATCTAATGCTAGATCCAGAATGGATCCAGAGACGGAGACAGAAACGGAATCTATCCCGTGGAAGCGAGCGATACGATATGGGTCGCGAGCTATGCGGAAACACAAACGTCGCACCGTAAATCGCTGACTTTTAATAATATTGAAAATTCCGACAATCGAAAAATCAACACTGATCGGCGCAGCTCGATCGTAAAGCGTGGAGCCCATTCAACAGTGTGTAACACTGTGCAGCACGTGCTATGCCGCGCCCACTAACACAACTCAAGCCAATCAGAAGAGACACAACACAGACACGTAATCCTAAGGCGTAGCGCCACAGGCGTAGCGCCACTGACGTGAACGCTAGTGATCCCGGTCTCACATATCGAATTACATAAAAGCCATGGGCGTATATTTTTCGGAACACCTCGAGAAGGGCTCCAATTAGGGGTGGGGGGGCGGAGGAAGTTTATAATTCAGTAATCGCGGTTGCAGTTTGTGCCTTGAAATTCTTGAGCGAAGTTACCATACTTCAAACCAAGAACTGCACATTTATGCGGGTCACAACACATAGGAAACTGATTGCACAGAAGCGTTTGATTAAAGTGACTGTGATATGAGAACCCGATATTGCTTAACCGTATATAAAGCGTAATTTAGTTCAGTTTTAATACCTATTTTATTTTTCAACAAAACAAAAATACTGCACTAGACGCGGGTTCCTCAGAAGAAAACTTGCGAGACAATAACTCCTTGACTCGCAATATCCGCTGCGCTGCAAGTACACAATCCCTTCAGTAGATAAAACCAGGCATCGCGCATCGTACGTGTCATAGATTTGTTGGCAAAACGCCGCCTCTAAAGCAGGCGTAGAACACTTCTAGTGTTGGTCGGGCGCTTGAACGGAACGGATGACAAAATCGCCGGGTCCAATGATCCGCCGCTGCATTTCCCTGTCGGACGGGGGAAAGCGTATTTGCGACTGTCTCACTACTTCGCGGATCCTAGCACCGCTTAACTCCACTTCCACGAAGGCGTAATCACGGTCCTCTACGAAATCGTACATGACCAGTTTCCCGGGATGCCACAGCCAAGCACTGTCTGGGCGGTCACGCAGCAGCACCTGTACATCCAGTTTGTCAGCTCCCGCTGGTGGTGGGCAGTAAGAATCCTTCCAGGATTCGAGAAAACGCCAGTCCCAGCGGAGCCGTTTGTTATCGAGCCATGACGCGAAGATCTTTCCGAGTTTGACTCGCACCGATCGCTGGCCGGAACAGTGGAAGTCGGTTACCAAATTGGTATCCTCTATGTTAATAACGCTGCCATGTTGCAACTTTCCGTTGTCATCCAGCATTACATCAACCGAATTCCATGCTCTTAATTTCCGTTCGTAGTTTCGTAAAAGTGCATTGCTTCAGCTGCCAATTAAACTATTTTACACATAGGAAAAAATTTATTTATTCTATTTTGCACATAGGAAAAAATAATTATTCAATCTGCCATTAAATAGAGTAAAGTCGGTACTCATGTGTTCTTCTTTCGCGATTCCGATTTAAAGCGTACTGAACAATCGTTCCGCTAGTTACACGAGCTGCAGTAAAAGATATAAGCTTGCGATACGATAACAGTAACTGATAAAAGTAAATGCCAAATTTTATATGATATGGTTATCTTAATGCCGGATTGAGTGGAAAAAGAAGTAGCGAGGGCGAGCAGGTGCGCCCGAAGCAGACAGAGATTGCAAAAATACGTCAAGAAATAAACCATTTACTCTGGTAAATTCCAACCTGTGTCATGAAAAAGTTGCTACCTATCAAGGAAGTTTTTACCGATGCTGCCATCCAGGTATGATGTCACGCTCGAATTTCGGTGCTTAATTAAATGGCTGCACCAGCTGCTACGAGAGATATCGCTGAATAATACGTACTATTATGGTGAAAAGATAAGACATATCAAAATTAATTAACAATCGATGCACCGCATGTCATTTCTTCAACTTATCTAATGCAAGGCTGAACATGCAGGAAACGCATTGAGACCTTATTTCCAGCCCCGCCAGAAATGCATGACAATCCATAAAGTGTACAAACAATCTCACAAACTCTGGCGCTAATTGGTAAATTTGACGGAATACGCAAGAGGAGATCAATAATTTGATAGTCTAAAATTAATAACCGTCTTACAAAAATTGTGCGGCACCGGGCGGAGAATACGATAATTTTGTGAGTCATCCAACTACATAATTAACGGTCTGAATGGATACGGTGTGCCCCTACAAAACTTGCTCTAAAATAGTAGTGCAAAAGGTTCTGTACGGAGTAAAAGCCAGTGTACGGAGTTGTCACCTAATCACAGCGTTCCGAAACAGCAGGCACTCATTATGGAAAAAAAGCATTGCATGGCGCATCAATCGAAACTTTATTTTAACAACATTCGCTTCTAAAAAAGTACACGATTTTACGGAAAAGTACGTAAACAATCGCGAAGGTGCTTTTGCCGCTATGAGTTACATTTTGTAATATTTATTTGTTTCAGTAACAATCGCTTCCAGCAGACCTTCTTCTAGTACATGTTTCCCAAAACATCCCGCTTTTGCACCATTTCGCTTGCGTTCAGTGGGATAACGGCGTGCATGATACGTGATTCCGCGTGCTCGCTTGTCAACAGGACGTCTTTATGGATGATTTTTTCACAACATGACGCCAGCGCATCGTAACTATGGGTCATCTCTTCAAAGCATTCCATCAGAGGCTTGCTAGTGCCGTGCACGTGGATGTGAGAACGACAGATTACCAATCGCTGGATGCGATGCTCGATCCCACTTAGCAGCTGCTGTAAGCAGTCAAGCACACCGGTAACCCAACCCTGATTCGGTTGCCAACCATCGTCGAGGTCGAGGAAGCAGACGGCGCGCGTCACCGGTGTCACGTGTTTAAGGACGCAGCTGTACACTGCGTAGGGCGCTAAATCGTGGTCCAACCACCGAGACGTGAAATCGGTGCGGCCAAACGACACCCGGACATCGCGGCAAGCCTCATTTGACGTAAGAATGACCTCCCACGCGTGGCAGGTACGTCGACACCGCTGGCGTCCGATGGTATCCAGGGATAGAAAGATCTCAACTAGCAGCGGGCGTGGCAACGGCAGACAACGTTCCTCTTGCACAAGCGGCATTTCTTAGCTGGTTTTAATGGGCGCTGGGTTCCAGAAGCGCAGATATTCTCGACCGCATTTCACGTAATGCTTGGCAAAATATTCCGCTTGGATTAAGGGAAGTGGCCCGGTACATGGTACCAAATTCGTGTATATGCACGAAATCTTTCACTTTCGCTCACTCCCAAACCCTTTTTTCTCTTGTTTTATGACAATCTGTAGTCAAATGATTTGTGTACACAGGCCTGAAAACCGTTTGCGCGCGCAACATCCGGTTCGGGAGTTATGGCTGTTAGAAAATTCCAAAAAGTTTAAATGCATTCAGGTGTACCAAAAGTCTCATTATGGGCCGATCTCTTTCAGATTTTGCACGTAAATGCACATAACCACGAAGAACGTTTTTACACCGATCCACTGTTCTAGCATGTTTTTCAAATTTTAAAATGGATTGCAAAAATTTTAAAATTCATTTTAAAATTTGAAAAAAATCGTGGAAGTCTGGATCGGTGTAAAAACGATCTTCATGGCCATGTGCATTTACATGCAAAATTGGAAGGAGATCGGTCCATAATGAGACTTTTGGTACACCTGAAAGCATTTAAACTTTGGGAATTTTCTACAGCCATAACTCATGAACCGGATGTTGCGCGCGCAAACGGTTTTCAGGCCTGTGTATACAAATCATTTGACTACAGAATATCATAAAACAAGAGAAAAAAGGGTTTGGGAGTGCGCGAAATTGAAAGATTTCGTGCATGTACACGAATTTGGTACCATGTACCGGGCCACTTCCCTTAAGGAATCCAGCTATTGTACAGAACATCATTTTACTTAGATCTCTCTTTTTACGGCATTTCTGGCGATCGCTGTTTCTTTTTTAGCGTTTGAAACTTTATTAAGAACATGTAGAAATAAATTCTAAACAGAAAACAAGATCCAAAGTAGATAGAGAACTGAAAAACAAGAAACTTGAGAAGCTTATGACTCTAACCAGGGTCGACGCTCGGTCACCGGCTCCCGGATCCAAAAATTTCATTTTTTGCAGGAAGACAGAGTAACCCTGGGGTATACGTAAAAAAATATTTTCATCGGCCTTGGTTAAGTGGGCGTGGTTAAACTTAATTCCCGTGCTGCATTAAAACATAAAGCACTATGTATTGGGAATACCGTATTAGTGTAGCGTACAATGTCAGAGGTTTGCAATAGATACAGTACGTATTATCAGCAGTCCGATCCTTTCTAATTCTTCCCAAAGTTACTGCTGTTAATGTCGAGAAGAATTTAACAAAAATTATGAAATTAGTGGTTAAGGATAACGCGTATTGTATTTGTGCGAACAAATATATGATACTCTATCGCGGGCGTATTCGCATTTCCCATTTCAAACTAGTACTGTAGTAACTTTACTATATACTTTTTTTCGATTATTAACAGCAGTAATTTTTAGAAGCAGCAGCAGTTTTTTTTAACAGCAGTATTAAAAATGATCCCACTACTGAATAACGTATTAGTCAAAAACCTCTGACATTGTACGCTACACTAATACGGTATGCCCAATATATAGTGCTGTATGTATTAATGCACTGAAATCAAGTTTAACCACACCCACTTAACCATGGCCGATAAAAATATTTTTTAAGTATACCCAAGGGTTACTCTGTCTTCCTACAAAAAAGAAAATTTTTCGGATCCGGGAGCCGGTGACCGGGCCCTGGTAAGATAGTTCATCAACCTAAGAACGAAAAAAGCGGAAAACTACTCGTACGAAGAAAAAAGATAACTAAAAATTAAAATACTTAAAAAAATTAAACTCTAAGAAATCTCAAAGAACCCAAAAAACCCAAGAAAAGCTTAAGAACTAACCTAAAAACAACTTTAAAAAAGGAAAGCGAGACTCTGTATAGTAGAGAATTAGAAATACTACGATCATAACCAGTACAAGTTCCCTTGCCACTACCAGTACTATTTCCGAGACGTAACGGAACTGACATATGGACCAGGCAGGAAGTGCTCTACTTATTTTTATCTATTGGACCCTTATTTATTATTACTGGAGGGATATTATTTATTGTACAAATTATTATTATTACTATTTTTTTTTTACTTGTCATTATTTATCTTTTTTATTTATTGTTTTTTATTGTTGTTACAATTATTTATTATTATTGGAGTTATTTCCCTATTGTGAAAATGAAAATAAGCAGAAGAGACACACTGCATTTAGGTGAACTTACGAGATGGCGCTTGTCTGGAATCGCGAACCCGTTCGTGCGTTGCAAATAGTGAATCAAATTGCTGAATACTAAAAGGCACCGTGCATGGTACATGTCATCGATTAGCTGACAAAACGCCGCCGTTAACTCCGGCGTGTAAATAAACTGCCAGTATCCGTCCGGCAGATCCACGGTGCGCATAACGAAGTCAGCGGCTCGAATGATCCGTCGTCGCATCTCGTCTTCGGACGGGGGAAAGCGTACCTGCGACAGACGAACCAGTTCGTGAAGCGTAGTTGCGCCCAACTGCACTGCCACAAAAGCGTATTCATAGACCTCGACGAAATCACACATAAGCAGTTTCCCAGGCTGCCATAGCCACGGACCGTCGGGGCGGGCACGCAGTAGCACTTGCACATCCGGTTTGTCAGATCGCGCGGGCAGTGGGCAGTAGGAATTGTTCCAGGATGTGGGGAAACGCGAGTCCAACCATAAACATTTTTGGTCGATCCATGAGGCAAAGACCTTCCCGAATTGCACCAAGACCGACCGCTGGCCGGCACAGTAAAAGTATTATTACAACTACCGTTTCGATGAACGGGCTCGATTTCAGAACAAGCCTTAGAACAGTTTAATTAACTTCGTGCTTCATTTAATCAAGAAGCTGAGCATTGCCGTCAGAAATATCAGAAAATTGAGTACGTAAGTTCCCTAAGAACCCAGAAAATAGTATACTCTGCCAATGCGCGGAGCTGGATTCAATACTTGTAAATTGTAGGTGCTTGTTGTATGTGTTTGCTGATATATTACTCCGATTTCCGCGTTTAGTAGCGCACTGAAAAGTCATTCCACTGATTGTGAACCGCTTAGCACACAGGTGCAGCTTTACATGCGGCGATCAGTCATAAGCGTTATCAAAGATGAACCGCTGTAAAGCGAGTGTGGGATTGCTCATTGCAGTACAGTATCTAACCGCCGGAAATGTCCACAATGCAACGCTTGAGTGAAACAGCAGCGTACGTACGCACCATTTTAAGGCACACTACCGACCGCTAATGTTTTTGCTGACGCAAAATGGCCGGCGGAGCCGTTGTGTTTGCTTAAGGCGAAGGTATTGTACATCAGCAGCCAGTTTCCTGTATCTGTAGAACAAATGCCACGACCGAGAAATTTTACAGCTTTCAAACAGCACTTTCGTAAAATCACCTGATATTTACCAACGTTACTATACCTTATGTTGCTTTATTCGTATCAAGCCGACCAACGTCATGCGAAATGTGTATACTTATATAACCAGCGACCTCGACTACAATTTTTGAAATCAACGGTCGCTCATGAAACACCGGCGCTAAAGCATAGCATTCGTGATTCATGATATGTTAATCATGAAAAATTAATATCCCAATATAATAAATTTTCGGCGGTGATGGATTATAGCAGCACCGGAAAATGTCGTCCGCATTTCACGTACTAACTGACAAGAGACTTTGCTCATTCAAACACTCCGTCTACAACAATTTAATACCCAGGGTGAATTTGGGCTACAGCAGACTCAGATACTTGCAAGACTTTGACTGAGGACAATTGCAGGCTTCTCTGTGAACCCCTTGAAATTGTTGCAAATCCACTTTGTTTATTTCTGTAATTCCATTTTCATTATATTTTAATTCTTTCAGTTTTCATGCGGGCAGCACCGACAGCGCCTTAATCGGCGCGGCATTTCCCTAGTACAAATCTGATCCTTCTTTGGCCTGTTATGCAGGCTGTAATCTAATCGTCTATTCGCTGAACATATTTGAGTAAGTAGTCCCTTTGCCTCGCATGTGTATACCCAACAGTCGAAATATCGTAATACTGAAACTGAGATAATAATGCGATTTACGTGCTGTAGCAGGTTGTGATTTAGAAATACCGTATGGTTCCTCATGATTTCATGCAATCGGTTCATTTCATAGGTGAAATAAACTTTTACTCAAATGGCAACCGAAGTCGCTGAACGTGAGACTGAAACTTTCGGTAGTCGATGCCAGTATCATTACTCCAGCACTGATTTCATTGGAAAAGGGACGTTTGGGATTGTTTATCAAGCAAAAATTACGGAACGCGGTGATCATACAGGGGAAGAAGTCGTAGCTGTAAAAGCCATTCATTTAGATACTAACTCTGAAGTTGTCGGGAATGAAGAGTGTTGGGCGAAAATGCGCAGCAAGTTAAGGAGACTTTCTCGATTAGCGCATCCACACTTGGTGCGCTACCACCAAATCCGCATCACAAAATCCGCAGGCGGAACGACAATAGAAGTACTGATGGAGCGCTGTAGCAGTAAGTGAATGCGTAATACTTTTCCGGTTATCTTCTTGGTATTTTGGGACGTGAGCGCAAATATGGACGTGATGAATCACTGCAATACGGACTAGTGGTGAGCGGACTAGTTGTCCAGTTGTCCTATCTGGTGGATAGTAGCTCGTTACAGAGATTTGCCAAAAATGGCAGTTTGGCAACAATGGCCACATTTGCGGTCTATACTGAACGTGGTGTGAGGAGGAGTGGCCTCCCCGTACGCCCGCACAGGTGCGGGTGCTAAGTTGTTTTGCTGTTTTTGCTAGTGATTTTCTCCATCTACCAGCTCTTCGATCTGGTAGATTCTTCAGTTGCTAGCCATCGTCGTCTGAGTAACTTGCTGTACTTTTGGCCCCGCAGCATCTGCTGCGGGAGCATCTGTAGTGCTATATGAATGGGATATAAAAGTGTGCAGTTGATTGTCGGGTGTCTTGCGTTTCCGCATAGCTCGTAGTATACAACACTGCTCACTCTGCAGGATAGATTCCGTTTCTGTCTCTGTCCGTGGATTCTTTCTAGATCCACCATCATATGGTAGCAGAGCGTGTCGTCTATCCATTGGGACCATTAATCGTTTAAGCGGTTATAAGGATACCGCAGCAGCAGCAGCAAAGGGAACGGCTATACGGATGCCGTCATCGCGAAAAGAAGATGGATCGCGAAAGAAGATGGAACAAGAAGAACGGCTATACGGATGCCGTCATCGCGAAAGGAAGATGGATCGCGAAAAGAAGATGGAACAAGAATGTCAGCAGCCAGCCAGCGACGACTACGCCAACTCCAGTCCACAGCAGCTAAAGGACTGCCAGCCACCGAAGCCCACGTGTACCCTGCCACCACAGACGATGCAGTGAGCTGCTCCGCAGGGTCACCAGTGTCAATTTGCCCCAAACCCCTGCCCGATTTTCCTGGGATGACGACCTTTCCTGGACGGGTGCAGCGGAATTTCCCCACTGAAGAAGCGTATTTTGGTGTTTGCAGGGTCACCAGTGTACCAGTGCCCCAAACCCCTGCCCGATTTTTCTCAGAACGTGACCTTTTCCGACTGAAGAAAATTGGAATTTGCCCAGTTCCGGGTTGGACGTCGTCGCAGTCGTAAATTTCGTCGCAGCCAGTGCGTCGACCCAGACAAGGTTAAAGAGGTCAGAGCGGACTGGATCCAAACCGAAGCGAACCGTGAACCGAGCCGAACCGAAGTGTACCGTAAACCGATGTGAAGCAAGCCGTATGTGACGTCTTTCCAGTACCGCAGGCACCGGTGACGTCAGAGGATACAGAAATGAAACGAATCCGAAGCAAAGGTGCGAAAAAAGTGAAACGAAAGTGTATGTGTCAGTTTTTCCAGTACCGCAGGCACGAGGCCGTGTCTGCAGTGTGAAGGATGCGCATCGGCTATGTGGACTGGTGAGCGGAGGTTTACAGCCCCAGCGGCCACCCATGACTTCAACCCGGGAAGACGTGGAGGGGGAGTTCGCGACGCCGCGCGATACGCTCGGAGGACCTCACGGGTTCCACCCGCAGGCATGTGAGGAGGAGTGGCCTCCCCGTACGCCCGCACAGGTGCGGGTGCTAAGTTGTTTTGCTGTTTTTGCTAGTGATTTTCTCCATCTACCAGCTCTTCGATCTGGTAGATTCTTCAGTTGCTAGCCATCGTCGTCTGAGTAACTTGCTGTACTTTTGGCCCCGCAGCATCTGCTGCGGGAGCATCTGTAGTGCTATATGAATGGGATATAAAAGTGTGCAGTTGATTGTCGGGTGTCTTGCGTTTCCGCATAGCTCGTAGTATACAACACTGCTCACTCTGCAGGATAGATTCCGTTTCTGTCTCTGTCCGTGGATTCTTTCTAGATCCACCATCATAGTGGCTAAAACGGTATTTGCTAACTATTTACGAGAATGTTGCAGGTGATCTCGCAGCTCTTCTTAAGCAAGCGTCGGAAATCAAAACTCCCGTCAAGAAATACGAAGATTTTGAACGGTACTGTCAGGATATAACGACAGGACTAGCGTATCTTCACCGGAGGGGAATAATACACGGAGACTTGAAACCGGGAAACATTTTAGTGAAATGCCTGACCGACGGCAGCAAAAAGCTGCTGATCGGAGACTTGGATGATTTAGTTCATATGCAAGAAAGCGTTACTTGTTCTGGAGATATACTGCAACTGCGTGGGACTGTTCGCTACATGTCACCAGAAATGCTGAAGAAGTTCTGCCAACTTGAAGCGGAAGATCCCGGACGGAAAACTGATATCTAGAGTTTAGGTTGTATTATGCTGGAGATCGCCGAATGCTTTTTAGGCAGAAATGTTGGCGAAAAATTCCTGGAGAAGAATGGAGAACTGATCAATTTAAACAGCACTACGGACAGCCAATTTGTTGGACTGATAATGAATGGCCATGTGCCGTTTATTAGTTCTGAAATACCGCCAAAATTAGCAGCCTGTGCCAGTTTGTGCTTAAAACAAAATCCCAAAGAAAGAGTTTTAGCCGAGGGGCTCTTGGACAAATTTTCAGTTGCTGAGGGCGTCAGTTTAGAGAACAACACGCTTTCTGAAACGGTCAGCTGTGAGGTTCTTTTAATAAACTGGAGTGCAAAATCGGGAATAGTAAAGCCAGTAATTTTGAATCCATTGACAAACCGAATTCGACTTCTTGAAGTGCCTGTGAAAGAACAGTTGCGTTTTGTTAATCCCCAAATGGCATTACCGAATAAAGAAATAATTATGGAAGCGAACAAGCCGAGATCCGACACCGACTATAAATTGTACATCTGGAATGTATCGAAGGGCACGTGGCGCTTATGTGAATTTGAAACGTACGCCTTGTACACAAATCGTGTTCCGTGTGACAGTCCGGTTGTTGTTAAAGACACGATTTATTATTTGCAGAGAAACACTTATTACAACACTAAGTTTGTTGCGAGAGACCTATGCGGTGGCCACACCAAGTTTGAGAAATTATGTCCAGTGGGCGACACACCAGGGTAAGTAGCAAACTAGCAATACATCAGTTTCACCGTCATTTCGAGCCAGTTGAATAAGCAATTTTGCTGAGGTTTTGCTTTTGTGTTTCAAAATGGCGGAATCGAGGAACGAGCATGTTTTAACCTTCCGGTCTACCGTGTGCAAAGCTAACAATATTGTTAATTTTAATTGCAGGAACACGGTGATGAGTGTGACTGAGTTTGAAGAAAAAATACTATATGCTTACCACAAAGTGCGCAGTTCTGAAGTGAAGCTGGATCTGTATGATCCGATGGCGGACAAATGGGAATCCTTACCACAAGTTCCACAAAACCGGGTTGATTTTGGAATGGCTGTCGTGGACGGATACCTTTACATAATCGGCGGAATAGTTGATCGGGTTGTAACACCTTCTTGTATCAGACTGAATGTGAGAACGTTTAGATGGGAGAATGTTCAAACGCTGCAACAACCTCGACGTCGTCATTCAGCAAGCGTTGTTAACGAAAAGATTTACGTCACCGGTGGCGAAAACGCTGAAGGTGATGTTGAATATTCGATAGAAGTGTATGATACAATTAGCAATGAACCCTGGTCAACTGTCGCATTGCCTGATCGAGATGAGGAGTTATTGCGACACACGTTTGCCGGAGACGAAATTAGAGCCCTATCTATTGCCCAATAATGCTATTTCATAATGTTTATGGCTTTATGTTATGGTGTAAACGCTCTCTTGACGTCAATCTGGATATAAGAAATTTGCATGAACACTGTTTAAAAGAAGTTCATGCCGAGTGATTCCCCGTCTTGAAGCAAGAGGATTCACTCCCGTCCGTAAATGCAACAGCAAACTTGGACGCATTTGGGATTTTCGCAAAGTAATTCTTGCATATAATCACACTGTGTGCGCGATGTATGTTGCTGGCATTCTCGGTGACTGCTGGTGTAAAATTCATTATTCCGATACTAGTGGACCCCGCGCAAATTGCGCGGAGTAAATTAGCGGCTAATAACTACACGAACTATGGAGAGCTACTCGTACAATACTGTACTTATTAATTTTCGTTGTTATAAATCCCACGATCGTAAAAAATACGTACTTATCAGTAGCCAGTGTTAATTAAATGTTAATGAACAGACAGCAAAACAACCAAAAATACTTGCCGATTGCACCGTTTAGAACATTTGAAAACTAATCAATAATTTGACCACTCTGTTTACCACTTTTCATTGCCTTTCAATCGTATTCGTATTTCTTAAAACACAAAACTTTGAAACTTTCGAATTCGGTACTCGTACTACTTTTCCCTCCGTTCATTGCATTTAATACGGCCTGCCAACGGTCCCTTCGCCTGATATTTGCATTTGCTTTAACCACACTTGCTTGTTTTCAAAATATTTCTGTACATTACATTCACTTTCATTTTTCAAGATATTTCTAAAGTATATGTTCGTAAATGTCCGAAACATGCTGCTACATACTTTAAGCAGTCGGACAAAATACCAGTTATTTGTCGCCATTGAATTTCTGGACATACAATTGGGAATAATTTCTGAAATTCAGAGGAATTTATTGCTGGAATCTATAAAAATAATAATTTCTGAAATTTAGATATGTTTACAATAACGTGTACATCTTATAAACATAGCAAAATTATTATGCAGAAAATACATTGCAAAGTGTTTTCCCACGTCGGACCATAAGGGACGGTGAAAGGCGAAAACCGAAAAGGTAATTTACCAAGTAAATAGTGCGCAATGTAGCGCACGGGGTGAACGTAGTGAGACCAACCGAAAGGTTTTAAAAATTTGTTAACGAATGGTCGCTAACTTTTCGGCTTTCAGTTTTCCACGTCTACTTGTGGTTTGAAAGTGCAATTACGAAAACAATAAAAGCAATTCTAATTTTCAACTTTCGCCAATTTTGGGATTGCAGTGTATTGTTAGTTTGTGTGAATTCGGAATTTGGCTATTACTGTGCCACGGAAATACGGAGCACTACGCAGAATAATGTCTCGCTTGATGTTCCGCGAGATCCGCTCGTGTCGTGTCGCCCGGCATCACCTGCCTGTGAAACTATCAAGTTTGAAATCGAACGGCGGAATAGCTCGCAGGAAGTTTCCATGCTTACAAAAACTGAACATAACAAACGAAAAATTTCCCAGTTTTTTTCAGTTTTTGCTTGTAGCAATTTCCACAGATTTACATTGCGAAACTTTGCAGCCCAGCAGCAGCAACTGCACAAATTTCATAACTGGAGTAGCTGTCAGATTACATGTGTAGACGTTTTAAAAAATCTGTAGAAATCACAACTGGACAAACTTTAAAGTTCAAACGTGTGCCTTTTACCTTCGAAAATTTAAATGCAACTCGACCACAAACCGGATAATGTGTTGCTGGCTGCAGCCGTACAATAGTACTTCTTCGCCGTTACGGTAAAATCTGTAGAGTCCCACAACCTACGCAAGGTGGCAGCTACATATACTTAGCTGCGCTCCGTTAACTGGTTTATGACGTCCCGTAGACTTTCCATGTTAGAGTTTTGAATTTTTTCTCAAAACTGTTTACGTTTTTCTGAAATCTGATAACTTTGTACAAATCTACACATTCAGGGCTATCGAACGGTACATAGACGTTCAAGTTTGGTTGAACGTGTCTATGACTTAGACCCTGACACACACAAATTTCGTGCACCTTCTTATTCTTTTATATAGATAGATAGATAGATTATGGAGTACGGACCATGATATTGGACGTTTATTCAGAGTTTCTGGCTCTCGTATTAGTCAGTTAAAAATACGCTTAGGATTAGCTCGTGCAAATTAAAACGGGTTCCGTTAACAATTTTTTTCCGGGATAGTGTAAGTTTACTTCGCTTACCACTTCAATAAAGTCCGCATGAGTTACGAAAGTTAAGCCACCTACTATTTAGACTATTCTGACTCTTTTATGATTGTTCGTGATTATTCTGACTCTTTTATTTTGATCATGCTGAATTACTGGTGATCAGTTTCGATTTCCTTTTACTGAGAATTATCTAAAGTTAGCGAACAGCGAGTTTTGTTAGAATTCACATCCTGTAAGGCCTTTTTTTTAAAAGAGGAAAAATGGAACATTTTGAAATTTTGATCTGGGTAAATATATATTATAAAAA